AACTAAACTGAATAATACACACCTTTGTGTGAAACTGCCTAAATGTGACCTAGGAATATGATAACCTTCAGACTTCTATTTCTCACAGCAGGCCGAATATCAGATAGCGCATGTCAAACTATCTGTGACTAATATATTTTAGTGACCTGGAGATTCCCCTTTTTGTCTGTGTAACATCTTATTAAAATAAAATATCATTTTGTACCTAGACAACGTAGGAAGTTTGCCTGTTCGAATGATACCCATGTGTGTTTGAGTCAACCACACGTATCGCATTTCGCGTGCTTCCGGCGTTCCCCGTTCGAAGAGCATTCGCTGCGTCTCAGCTGGAGACTATACCATTCCCCTGGCTAGAACCTTTTTGCGGTGCCTTTAGTTAGCTATAATATCCACAAAATCCATACGAACATCGAACTATTCAAAATATTGATTCCACCTATGAATACTGCGGTATTAATTATGGAAGCACTCGGATGGGTGAAGGAAACGCCCCAGAAAAGCTGCAAATTTCATTTACTACATGTGTGTTAGGTACATCGTCTATCTTGAGCAATTGTTAGCGTTGCCAACAGCTTCACCTCGATGCTTATGTACAAGCTCCTAAACCAAAAAAGCGACTCCAGTCTCTCTACATTAGAAGTGTGACACAATTTCCCTCATAGGCTTCGAAACAAGACTTGTGGATTAAATCTGAAAAACCCAGTACAGCTATTCGATATAAAATTTTTCCTCGTCAGATACACTGTCTTGTGAAATAGCCTACCGATCATTGTCAGATCTTGCGCAACTGCATGAAAATTGCGTAGTAAACTTGGAAATTCCCTAAAGTGAAACTCGATAATGACAATGTTTTCATTAGGAAAATCACCGGACATTTTCTTTCATCATGGACTAAGGAATATATATCCAGTGTGGAAAGCTGTTACACAAAAGTCAACGCCAACAAAAACCGTGTTTCAGAATGCGTTCATAACACGGATGCCGCTGAATACATATCTCAATCCAGCAAGAGTATGATCAAAATTGTACGGATTACCTGTCTTATCCAAGGAACAGTCTCTGCCATATTCGTGAAAGATGTGTGTTTTCTAATGGAAATGGTACCCACTATTGAGTCTTACAATATCAGAAAGTGTGTGTTTATCTGAGGTTCGTGGACCACGTGAATAGTCTAGATCGCAACCTACTGCGCATGCTTTGCAGACTCGAACGCAGCTTCCACGCTTGGTCCAAACAGGTTGTCACTCTTCTGTTCCCCCACCACCATAAACCAATGCTAGACTACGGCTAGCTCGCCTACTGATCGATAACGCATGACTAGGTACGTAGGATCAAACGGCGCCACGTATTCGCTAAAAGTCTCATACCTCGTTTACGGAAGTAACGTGCATAGACCAATGCGACAAACCAGGACTATGCACCCAGTCTAACCATCGGGTAGAAATCGAATTTATCATGACCAACCATATCTTAAATCTCTTGGGAACGCTGTTTCGCATGTGCATACCATGCGTTCGACATCATAGACTCCTAGTGTCGGAGCTGGTGGCGAGTGGCAAAGCCTTGGAACACTGGGTCAGACAACACAGTATGGGTAACATCAGCATTGCTACTTATAACATTTGTGGATGCACATTCCGCTGCTGTTTGACATAGAGAGCGTTTCGGAAATGCTTTTGTACTTGCCATGGTCATGAAGGCGATCATAGCTGTCGCGCTGTTAGGCTACATGGAAAGCTACGGCATTATTGTGCGGGTGCAGCGCGGGTTTCATCAATATAGATTATGTACAACGAACCAGCTGATAGCACGCGACAGTTGGATGAAGGGGTCAACAAGAGGGCAGAAGCCAAGGTTATCCACATAAACTTTTCCAAAGCGTTCGATCGCCTGGATCATAGTTTCCAGCTCCATAAAATTCAGCACTGTGACACAGGGGAAATCGGTGTCGGAATTTAAGAGATTCCTCGACGCCCATTTTGCTGATTACCGATATAGGGAGCGGATCGTACTCGGATAAGATGGTGCAGCTGTAATATGCGGCCATCGCACAGGATCAACAACATGATTCCGTGCAGGTGCCCGAGCTAACTACGACAAAGCAACACCAATTTATATCTTCTCACTCACTAATTTCAGCATTCAGTATTTGGCCGGCGCTATCTCGGGCTGTAGTAGTGATGTAGCGGTCCGTAATAGCGTTCTTGTTCGCCGATTAAATAGATGCTGCGCTAGACTCGCTCCAATATCGGTAGATGGCGTGCTCCATCGATCCAGTAGTATTAGGTAGGGATGCTCCTGAGTCGCCTTGGCTTATGTAAACAATTTCTTAGCCTCTTACACTGCTGACTCAGCCTTCTCACTTGATTGGCTATGTCACGGGCTGGTGATCCGGTGACAAGAATCCAACTGCTTGTTTTAGGCACGAAATTCTGCATTGTTAAATTGCCGCCCGTTGTCGGAAGTCACCCACTGGGGTATTCCATGCCGAGCGAATTGGCACGGCAATTTCTTCACTATGGCCTACGTGCTAATCGTCGTAAGGGAACCGATCTTGAAATAGTCACTAAAGTAAACTACCGCAAGCAAATAGTTCCTTTCATCGTGAACAAAAATGTCTAGTGTAACCATCTGTCAGAGCCAGTCAGGAATGTCACGAAGCATCATCGGTACTTTGGATGGCGTAGATCTTGTGTTCTGCATGCCACACAATTGCAGACGTAGTTATATCTTTGGACGGCCTTCCCGGGACCGAACGACAGCTCCCTTGCGTATTCCACGCAGTTGTTGATTCCTAAATGTGCACAGTGTATCAGCTCTAGCATCGAAGGTTGCAGTGCCTTTGGAACTACTATCCTGTTGTCTTTGAATATTACTCGGTCCTGGGTAATGAGTTCGTCGCGAAAATGGAAGAATATTGTCCGCTCCTTAGGGAATTTTTTCTTGTCTTCGGGCCATCCGTTCATTCTCGCGTATTTCAGTAGCCTGTGCAGTTCGTCCTCCTCCGTGCACCGTTGGAGTTGCTGCAAGCGTTCCTCAGTGACAGCGATCAACTCTGTTGCATGGACAAACTATGTGTTTCCTTTCTTTCCGGCATATCGGACAGATGCGCGCTGGACGGCGTGTCCACAATGTGCATCTGTGATCCTGGCCGGTAGAAAATGTCTAAATCTTACTTCTGCGGACGGATGAGCATCCTTTGCAGACGGCGAGGAACAACATGGAGCAGCTTACTGGCAATCGATAACAAGGGCTTGTTGTCCATAAAGGCGATTGATTGGCAGCTAAATGTAGCCATTGGAACGTTCCACGTAGTAAACCAATACAAACATTTTTTCTATTTGTGCGTAACGACGTTCCGCCTCTGTTAGCGTTCAACTGCGAAAGTCGATAGGCTTTCCGTTCCGCAAGAATAAGGCTCTGATACCGTACTGACTGCTGTCACATTGGAGCTCGAGTGGGAGTGCTGGATTATAGTAAACGAGAATGAGGGCGCTCATGATCAACACCTTACTTTTTTGAAAGGCTCCCTCCTGTTCCACATCTCAGTGCCAGTTCTCTTCCTTATGAGTCAGTTGCTGAGTTGGTACCATTACATCAGCTAATCCGGGCAGAAAGCGACTCAGATAATTCACCATCCCATTCAGCCCGCTAACAGCTTTCATGTCAGTTGGAGGAGGCATCTCTTTGATGGCTCTGGCCTTCTCGGAGTCTGATTTCAGCCCTTCGGAGCTTAGCACGTGTCCATGAAACATAACTTCCGTCCTACGCAATTTGACCTCTCGTTTGAGCTTGATGTTCCTTTCAGAGCGGCGTTGCAAAAATCGGTCGGGTTCTGGTCGTGCTCCTCTCGCGTAACACCGAAAACTAAAACGTCAGCCACACCGAATGTCCATGTTAATTCCTCTAAAGCTTGTAGCAGTCGTTTCTGGAATATTTCACTAGATACTTTCAATCCAAGTGGTACACGAAACCAGAGGAAATGCCCGAAAGGTGGCTCAAACGGGATCGGGTAGCTCGAGTATTTGTCAGGTGATACGTGTGAAAAGGCCAAGGTGAGGTCGACTTTTGTAAATATTCCAGCTCTGGATAGCACCGAAAGTACTTCATTTAGTGTCGGTAGCTTATAATGCTTCCTCCTGAGCGCGGAGTTAAATTGTTTCGGATCCATGCACACGCGTAGTTCTCTGGATTTCTTAGTGAAAATTGCCACCTGCTAACCTAATCGATCGGCTTCTCAACCTTAGTTATTGCACCAAAACTGAGAAGACGATGTAGCTCGTCTAAAAACGTTCGCGTTAAGCCATATACACCTTTCTGGTCGGCAACACTACCGGCTTGGCGAATTTCATAAAATTTACATGAACGCACCTTTCGAATCTCCCTACGACCACAGCAAACATGCTCGGGTATCTGTCAACAATATCTATGCTAGCTTCATACGAATAGACAAATCGTTCGTGGTTAAAAGAAACAGAGCCGATACTCTGAATGGAATTAATATGTAACATGGGCATAAGGTCTCCTGAGACTATCAGAAAATCCAGCTGGTGTTCTTTGCCGTTACTGCGATTGATATCCTTCAACGTGGTGCTACCTTTAGGTCGCAGCTTCGAGCCGTTCCACATCCTGAGGTAATTTTGCATTCTGTCACATGTCAGACCCACACAGTGTATCTCAGGTAGACTGTTGACAGTAACCCACAAGACCATTTGGAAGCGCACGGGTAGTCCTCGAAACAAAAGTGTCGCGAAAACACAATTATTTTCAACAGGGTTTTCCAAGCAATTTATTGCAAGTTCTGGCATCTGTTCGTTGACGCTCCTGACCACTAAGCTGGCCTTGACGGATTGGCAACAGCTAGCAAAGTGGTTCTTCCTAGAACATTTTGTGCACATTGACTTCAAACTGGTCAACTCCCCTTCGTCCTGAATGTGTGTGACCGTAAAACTGACAACTTTTACCTGTCCGCTGGGTGCCTGGGGTAAATTACTGCTGGTTTAGGATACCGCGCACAGACCAGCATTTACATTCTCTCCCAACTGCTCGGCCGTCCTTGCTTCACTCAGGCAGATGTCCATATAGTGTTCCAGCAATAGATTCCTTTGTCCCAGAAGGCGCTGAGTGAGCTCGTCATTCTGTATGCTAATGACAATGCGATCACGTATCAAGGACACTCTCATGCAATTGCAGTAGGTGCAGTTAACTGCGCCAACAGCTTCAGTTCTGTGATGAAAGTCTCGAACGCTTCACTTGGTGATCGATTGCGGCCAAAAAATAAATACAAATGATACGCCCCGTTTGCGTGTCCTTCGCAATACGCACGGAATCTTCTCAGCACCACCGAAAGTTCGACTTCCTGACTTGTCTCGCTCTGCTCCAGTGTTTCAAGCACTCTCCTGGCTTTATCATCTATAGTGTGCCTGAACATCGCCAACTGGTAAGCCATCGGTTTGGTATCCATCTGGGTCACCGTGACGAAATCCATCCACTTCGCCTTCCACATTCTCTAGTTGTCTTGCAACGTGCCTTCAGTTATTTGCAAAGCGGTCGGCAGTGGGATCGATGGCTGCCCATCAAAAACCAGCAGGATCCTGCGCCTCAGTTTCTTTAACTTTGTCACTATGTTGTGTGGCCTTCCATGAAGCAAAAACCTAAGTCTGGTTCCCGATCAGAAATACATCAGTCATAGAACACGAGCTCCTTTTATATCTCGCATCGATTAGAACCACTCACGGAGGTAGAGCACACCTCTATGCTATTGCATTCTCGGTCAGTGTTTTAACTTCGTTCATGTAGATCAAAAGCGATTGGGTCTGTAGCGATCGAGAAGGTTTGAGACTGTTGGCCTAAAGTCGTTGCACTTGACCATTCGATAAACAAATGGCATGCTCAGTGTGGCTTCTTACCATCACACCTCCGACGTCGGCCAGCGAAAATTTTCGAGTGTTTGTGCAACCTTCCATACGAGGAACGGCTGAAGATACTCGGTGTGGTCAGTGCACGCTTTCAACAGCTACATGAATACCTCCTATTAGTATACCAATTACTGAGCGACCCAGCTTGGGTATATCGCCACCTTTTGAAACTCAGTCTGATAACCAACCTGGGAAATAGCTTGGAAAGGAGTCATTGATGCAGTCGTCTAGATTGTCGATGAACTTATCACTCCCTTCTGGTCAGCCAACTTAGGAACGCCTTCCTAACCCAGTTGTCTGTGCTCCCATGTCAATACTTAGCAAAACACGCTTGGATATCGCGCTGAGCTCCCTACACACTTTCCCTTGAATTGCTATTCTGGGATATAATAAGGATAATTGGGTTCTTTGGAATTATAACATACCGTGACGCACGTAAATTAGTACACGCGGGGGAATAATCTTATTGTTACGGCCAAACCTGTCCAAGGCGACCACTCAAAGGACCGACAAAAAGTGGTCACCTTAGGTGGTCGCCATAGACAGGTTCATTCATAGGGAAATTAGTCATGGGAGAAAAGGCTGGGGATGTTTTTGGCTGATTACTCTATGCAGGTGGTCGCCACAGCAGGTTGGACTGTACTTGCAATAAGAATTAAACAAAACAACTATTGATCCCGTTCTCTCTTATACCATCTCAAACCCGTAACCCTAGTTGAGTCCTTGGCTCGACTCCTCAAACACTGTTTTGACGAAATGTGCGTGCCCAACACATGAAAATACGGAGTGATTCCTCCAATTCACAAGCGAGATGGAGGTTCCAACCCAGCCAACTACTGTCTCATAATCATGGAAGCTATTATTTCCAATGCGCTAACGGACTACTTAGAATAATTTAACTACCTCGTACCGGAACATCATGGCTTCCGACGAAATCGATCGTGCACTACAAGTCGACAACTAGCACGATCCAACTGGACTGAAGCAGTAGACTCTGGCACGAGAATTGATGTAGTCTTCCTTGCCTTCTCAAAGGTGTTCGATCAGTTAGACCATGATATTCTGCACTCCAAAACTCCAGACATATGATATTACGGCTCCTCTCCTAGAATGGATCGAAAGCTTACTTCTACACCGGCGATTGGAAGTATGAGTGCGTGAATCCCTGTCAGCTCCCATTTGATTTGATCGCGGAGTACCACAGGGATCGACACTAGGACCGGGGTTATTTTTGACGTATATTAAAGGTATGAAACACCTCATAATCGCGAACTCTCTGGTTTATGCCGTCGATATCAAGGTGTGAAGGGCGATCAATACACCAGATAATATCACAGTACTTCAAGCTGATCTGGATAGGGTATACGCTTGATCAATCCAGAAGCTACTTCGATTCAAGGTGGACCAATGGAGAGTGTTGCACTTACGGCACAAGTTGGTGCACTACAAACTCAGTAACCAGGAGCATCAAACGTCTTCTGCCGAGAAGGATCTGAGAGTTTTGGTCTAGGTCGACCGTGGATGTTCGAATCAGACTTAAACGGCGTCAAGAAGGGGCATCCAACACGTGTGTCTCATGAAGCATGCATTCGGACGATTCGACCCTTCGATTATACCACACCTTCTCGGCTCGTAGTTACGGCCACAAATGGAATACGCCATACAGATCCGGCAGATATGGATGAGTAGAGATCTTACCGTCTTGGAGATAACCCAACGCCAGGCAACCAAGTATGTCAAGGGTCTGTATAATTTTCCATATAAACGTAGGTTTCAAGTGCTCGGGATATTCAGCGGACAATATCGGCAATTGCGCGGGACCTCATTGTGACTCATCAGATTTTGTGAGATCCCAATCACAAGTGCCGCTACTTGCTATAGCGCAATCACAAGAGCAATTTGTAAGGCCACGATCTCAAGCTGGCAGAGTAGCACAGTTGTTTGGAATTCCGCCGGAATTTCTTTTCCGTGCACGTTTGCAAAACATGGAATGCCCTACCGGAATCTGTCATATGTGCTCCAAAGCTGGCAGAGTTCAAAGCCCGAGTTGACCGTGCACTTATTTCGTTGCACCATATCTCTTGACTCATTACCCATGGGGAAATACAAGTGTCTGTAAGAGATTTCACTCGAGGCCAAATACCAGATTTTGTTCCACTTTTTCTCCTCTTGTGTGTGTACATCAGGAGGAGACAGGATTTTTATCAACATCCCATTAGCTGTCATTCCGTATGGATTTACCTTGGATTTACTGTATACTACGGATACCTCATTGAGTTCGCCGGTGTAGACCCAATTTTGCTGGCAATCATTTTTATATTTTGTACATTCACCCTAACCATCCTCCGTGACCCGTTAAGCATTAGCTTTTTCACCCATTTAAAACCTTTGTTCCATTGTCGGGCACTGGAGCACCCGCCGTGTGTCTTGGGTTGTCACACGCAATCTCAGTTGTGGTCTCGGTTGACTTTGAAGTCAGTCTCTGCCAATACGATCGCTGAGACCGTCACCAAAGTGGGGGGTTTCGGTGTGGATCTCTCCCATCTCTGCACTCCAAGACAGACGCTTTTGTCCTGGTTTGGACTTATCAGATAGAGATAGCCGAGCTGGAAGTGGAACTAGGCACATAGTGCTTGGCGGCTATCGCCATGATCACTAGACCATTGAGCTCCGCAAGCAGTGTTTGATACGGCGGTTAGAAGTTGATTTTCAGGCATTGGAGCACCCACCGTGCGTCTTGGATTGTGACACGCAATCTCAATGATGACCTCGGTTGACTCTGAAGTCAGCTTCTGCCAATACGATCGCTGGGACTGTCAAATTCAGCCGAGGCTAAAATTGAGATTGCGTGTCGCAATCCAAGACACACGGCGGGTGTTCCAATGCCCGAAAGTCAACTTCTAACCGCTGTTTCAAACACTACTCACGGAGCTCAATAGCCTAGTCATTATGGAAATAACCGCCAAACGCTATGCGCCGAGTTCCATTACCAGCTCGGCTATCTCTACCTGATGAGTCCAAACCAGGATGAAACCGTCGGTCGTGGAGTGCAGGGGGTGAAGAGCCAATCCAAAACCCTCCATTGTTTCAGTGTTCTATATACCATTATTGCTTCACAGTATGCATTTTATTGCGTGTATTTGGTTTTGCAACTACTTCAATTGCCAACCTACGGAATACACTAAGCCCATGCTTTTTACCCCCATGAACTACTGTTCCATCGTACATTAACTATGCGTTTATCTGTCACTTATCAGTGCGACTCGTGCTTACGATCTCACGTGAGAACACGAGGAACGATCAACTTAGTGACAACTGAGTAACTGCTCTCGTGTTTTCTATTAAACTTCCTTGGATTCATGTAGATTTTATTGCTTTTCACTCGAAAGCAACGGTTTTCTGTATTTGGTATCCATCGACGAGTTTTATTTCGGTTCTTAAGGCGGTTGTGGCTGAGGCAGGAAGTCTACCGAACACAGCATACCAAAGCCCGCACCACACTTGAGCGAGGCACCAGCATTGTGGGAAAAACTGTGCAAGCGCTGCTTCGTTTTTATTGCACCAATTGCGTTGGAACTCCTCATTCCCATTTTGTTTGTTGGTGGTGATGTAAGTTCGTCACTGACTAGCTTTTACACCAATTTGTGAATCTGATGTGTGTCCCGTTGCCAATGGCCTCCCTACAATGCAGAAAGTATCGTCGCCAAATGTAACTTCGCCTCCAAAAAGAAAAGCATATGCGGGCAAACCGAGTGGAACACAGTGCATTGGCCGTCAACAACAGTGTAAACGGGCGTTCGCTAGATTCCTGCTCTGCAGTGGGCGTTACCGCTTCAGACTGGCCCCACCCTGGTATCGATTGGCAAAGGGATTTGCATGGGACTGATGTTACTAAATGAACTTGATTATTGTCCCACTTCACAAAGATAATTACTTGAGGACACCATTTGATCTGTGTACCGAAATCTGGAACCTATATGAGGTCACAAGGAAGATAATAACGTGTACTTTGGCGTGTCCGCCTGCAACCACCTGCTCCACCGATGGCTAAGGTGGGTTTACCGCAGTAATGGTTTTGAAGTCCGACTAAATTCACCACCGGATACTGTGAGCATTTACTGAGACCCGTTTGGTTGTCGCCTTGTTCTTTGCATCAGTAAAGTTCAGTCCAACTCAAGGGTCTTAGCACAGGTGTAGTCTTCCGCCCCCCCCCCTCTACAGCGAGATCGCAAGGGATGAAGTTGTATCGTGTTGTATAATGTAAATTACAGGGCAAGATCAATGGGACGCAACCAGCTAAGAGAGTACCGGTGAAACAGACTTAATGGGTAAACCTGACATATAAAGCCAAGCAGTCGATACCAGGGTATCGACTCGCGACTAACTGATACATAAAGTTGTTTGGAATGTGGATAAGTGAAACACCCTTAAAAAGGTAAAACTACCATGTCACCTGCAGTTATCCATGGACAAAGAACCCTCGCCCTTTTATTGCATGCTGCAACGGAAAGTCGTCGTAATGATAACAGGCCGTGCCCCGAAACTCTTCGCGGAGTACTTGAAACATATACCGAACCTAAAGACAAACATATGACTTTCGGCAGTGGCGTAGCAACCACATTTGTCGTCCGGCGTGGTGATAAAATTTTCGCACCCCCAGCATTC